GGTGATCCTCCCCCTCTATGCGGCACTGGTCAGGCCACAGTTGGAGTACTGTGTCCAGTTCTGGGCGCCGCACTTCAAGAGGGATGTGGACAACATGGAGAGGGTCCAGAGGCGGGCCACTCGTATGATCAGGGGGCACCAGGGCAGGCCTTATGAGGAGAGGCTATGGGACCTGAACCTGTTCAGCCTCCACAAGAGAAGGCTGAGGGGGGATCTAGCAGCCTGTTACAGACTAGTCAGAGGGGATCAGCAGGCACTGGGGAAGTCCCTGTTCCCCCGAGCACTGCCAGGAGTGACCAGGAATAATGGTCACAAGCTGGCAGAGGGTAGATTTAGACTGATATCAGGAGGCGCTACTTCACCGTCAGGGTGGCTAGGATCTGGAACCAACTTCCAAGAGAAGTAGTGCTGTCCCCTACCCTGGGGGTCTTTAAGAGGAGATTAGATGAACACCTTGCTGGGGTCGTTTGACCCCAGCAATCTTTCCTGCCATGGCAGGGGGTCGGACTAGATGATCTACTCAGGTCCCTTCCGACCCTAGAAACTATGAAACTATGAAACAACTTCTTTTAAGATCCCTGGGGTTGAGCAAGACTTGCCTATAGTTGCAGTTCTGCACTGTGTTGGCTTTAGGTACCTGAACAAGAAGTAAAGCACCTGTCTCTTCTCCCCCACAGTACAGGAAATTACCGACAGAAAAGCAGCATTATTCAAAAGTGGAGAATGTAAAGAATATTTGGGGCATGGGACAAAGAGCCTGGAGATTTGGACTAGAGAGACTTGGCAGAGGGGAAGAAAACTCAGATTGTAAATTAGGGTGGGGTGGGGTGGACTGGAACTGGCCGAGCAAGGAGATGGGGAAGATTGAGCCAAGGACATTTAGACTTGGAATTGGGTAGGAATGGATTGGGGCTAGCTAAGCAAGCAGTCCAACTGGAAACTCAGGTGAATGTTAAGTACAATGCAAAAAGGTAAAATGTGTAGTTTTAATAGTTTTTTTTAAACCTGAGCATTTATATGTATACTCAGCCATCCATTTAAAGAATATTGATTGTAAAATTATGCTCTCAGAAATATAAAATTCACAAAACTAAGGTAGTCTATACAACTTCAATTTGGTCTGCTTTGGCATGTGCATTTTGATGCACAGGATACTCCAGTTGTATGCCTGGTGAGTAAACACATAATTTTGTTTAATTGCATAATCCAGTGCCGGTCTCAATTTGTTATCCCTTGTTCCAAACATTACTTTTTTGCAGATCAAGTTAAGTGCAGAAACTGCTATGCATATAAACACTAGGGCTGTGTGAAATTTCGGCAACCGTTTCGTTTTGGAAAAAAAGCCCTGCATTCACCAGTTGCAGGAGCAGCAATTAGAGCCTCTGGGCACTCATGGCATAGCCTCCCCCGTAGCACAGGGCACTGGGGGGGCAGTGGGGATTGCCCTCTCTTCCTGGCCCCATGGCGTGGGTCCAGAGCACCTCAGTAGGGCACCTTGCACTGCCTGGGAGCAGGGACCTCGGGCTGAGGACAGCTGGGCTCCCAGACAGTTTGCAGTGCCCTGCCAAGCCACACTACACTTGCACCATGGGGCAGCTGCCATGATCCCCACTGTCCTATACTGCACGGGAGGGCTCTGCCACAAGTGCCCAGAGGCCCCAAGTGCTGCCCCTGCAGCTGGTGAGTGCAGGGCTTTTTTAAGTGCTGGGACTAGGCTGGGGCCAGCCAGGCAGGGCAGCCATGGGAGCTTCTCCCATGGCTCCCCCAGCCCGGGGAGAGGCAGACACAGCCAGAAGAACCACGGGAGAACCTGCAGCCGCCTAGCTGTGCCTGCCTTTCCCTTGCCGATCAAATCTCCAAAACAGCATCGAAACTACACAACACATTCGGTCAAATCAAAACAGAGCAGTGATCCAAAACACTGAAATGAATCACTGCCTGCCAAAACGGCCAAATCTGAAATCAAAACGAGAAATAGCCATTTCGCGCAGCCCTAATTAACATGTTTCAACTTTCCTGTAAACTTTAGTACCAGGAGTGAAAGGCTGTGAGTAGAAGCCTTGAAACTGAAAGGAGCTAGTCACTTTTGGGCCTGCTATTAAAAACCTTCAAAATGATTGGAGCTTGTTGGTTGTGCAGCTGCTATCTTGCTTCATTTCAAGACACTTAACAACTGTGAACTTGACTAGGTCCTGTTGTTTTAAAGACTTCCAGTAGGAGCCCTGGAACTAATTGAAATGAGGGGAGCTGGTCAGTTCGACAATAGCTAATACTGGAGCAATGAAAGCTTCTGTTGATACAGAAAGCTGTGCATTGCATACAATGGTTTGGATAAGTGAACACTCATGTAATTGAATAGTCTTTTTTTTTTCTTTTTTCCCACCCCAAAGCTATGCACTTTAATAGCATATGCTGTGCTCTTTAAATGCATGATCATATACTAGTGTTAGTCTACCTTATTTGGTATATAAGATGGCCGTGCTTTGGGAATTAGTGAATTGTTTGGTGAAAGAGGTTGTTGACTTTGGGGGGCCCCCTGCTTCAGTTGCTAAATAAATTAGAATGCATAGGTAAGAGGTAGAAGATTGCAGGAAAATAAAGGAAGGGCTCATGTCTTAAGGCAGTTAAATTCTGGCCTGGTGACCTGGGCTCTGTACCTGCCAATGCCAAATAATTTTGATGTGATCCTAGACTTTTCACTGGTGACTTAATTGTGTTTTCCTTATTTATAATATGCTGAACAGCGAAGAGAAAAGAAAATACTGTATAGCTGCTCATTAAGTGAGCCCCATTCACTGTACACTAGAGTGCCGTGTTTGTTTAGTACATATAAATGTGCAGAAACTAAAAATGATTTGCAATTGAAAGCCATAATATGGCAGTTGTACAGAAGTCCAATAAATGAAGTATTATTTATAAACAACTGAATGCAGTTCTCTTAATATCTGCTTTTCAATATTGTTTAATTTCAGCCTACCTGTAACACATCTCATACTCAAGCAGAAACTCCTGAATGCGAAGAGCCTCCAAATCTGTCAACTAAAAGCCCAGACAGGACCCACTCCAGCAGCAGCAGTTCTTTGGATTCCATTAAGGCTGATGCAGACTTTAGTAGTAGTAAGGCCTTTTTGACAATAATCACCTAAAATTTATTTTGGTTCTAATCAACCAGCAGCATTATCTAGCAACACTTATTTCCTCTAGAGACTGTTGCACATCCATAATTCCTATGGCTTTCCTTTTGGTAGATAAGTAGTATTAGCCTTTCTCTGGTCCCCTGGGTTCCTCCCTTTTTCTCCATGAGTTCTCAAAGAAAGGTTTGTTTAATGGTTCAAAGATTACTTTGGATAGTTACTTAAGTACTCTAGGATTAATTTTGTCTTGCCATGCTGGCTTGCTTTGTCTGTTTTGCCAAATCTTCTTAATTTGTTTTTTTTCTGTATTCTGTATTCCTATCTCCTTGTTAGGATGTTTTTTGTTAGGTATTTAATCACAGTTAATGCTTTTTGTAGAGACTAAAGCAAAAAAGACACTGCCTTATGTGCATCGTTCAATTTTTGTTCTCCTTTTCTCCTGCTTAGATGTAGCAGACGTAGATTTTTCCATTATTTTTTTTCTTAATTCTAATATATTTATAGATACATTTTGGTTGCCTTATATATGCTTTGCTACTTGTGATTCATTTGTGCCTTATCATAGAAGTAGGGTCGGAAGCCACCTTGTAGATCTTCAAGTCCGACCCCCTGCCTGGGCAGGAGAAAAACTGGGCTCAAATGACTCCAGTGAGGTAGGCATCAAGACTCTTCTTAAAGACCCCCAGGGTAGAAGCCAGCACCACTTCCCTTGGAAGTTAGTTCCAGATCCTAGCCGCCCTAACTGTGAAGTAGTTCTTATGGATGTCTAATCTAAACCTCCTCTCCAACAACTTGTGGCCATTATTCCTTGTCATGCCAGGGGGCGCTAGGGGAAACAGTGTCTCCCCCAAACCCTTCTGGTCCCCCCTAGTGAGTTTGTAGACAGTCACAAGGTCCCCCCTCAGCCTTCTCTTGTGAAGGCTGAATAAGTTCAGATCCCACAGTCTCTCATTGTAGGGTCTGCTCTGTTGTTGTCCCCGGATCATGCGGGTGGCCCTCCTGTGGACCCTCTCACTGTTGTCCACATCCCTCCTGAAGTGGGGCACAGAGAACTGGACACAGTACTCCAGCTGTGGCCTGACCGTTGTTGCATAGAGGGGGAGGATCACCTCCTTGGCCCTACTTGAGATGCACCTGTGGATGCATGACAAGGTCCGGTTAGCTCTGCCAACTGTGACCTCGCATTGTCGGCCCATGTTCATCTTGGAGTCAATAATGACTCCGAGATCCCTTTCTGCCTCCATGCTCTTAAGAAGGGAGTTTCCCACCTTATAAGTGTGCTGCTGGTTACTACTGCCCAAGTGCAGCACCCTGCACTTTTCAGTATTGAAACGCATCCTGTTTTTGTTAGCCCACCCCTGTAACCTATCCAGGTCTTGCTGCAGTCTTTCCCTCCCTACTAGCGTGCTCACCTCATCCCAAATTTTATTATCATCAGCAAATTTAAACAGGTTGCTTTTCACCCTATTGTCCAAATCGCTTAGTTTTTCTGCTTTTGTCCCCACAGACTGGTGCTGTTCTTTTTCTTTTAGTCCTTGGTCATGTGCCCTTGTTTCCAGTCTTTGTATGATACCTTTTGATTTTCAGGTAATTAAGAGTTCCTGTTGCAGTCATAATTTCTCCCTTAATTCCTTTCTCCCTATCCCTTGCTTCCTGTCTTTCCTCTGTGTTGGGCAGTTTGTTACTGTGTTTTTAATATAGCTCTAAAGTAACTGTCAGAACTCCTGCACTCATTCATTCTTGAGATTTGTCTGTGCAATGAACCCTGTGAACCAATTTCCATAAGTTTGAACTCTTTTTTTTTTTTTTAAGCCAGTTACTCTTAATTTATTTACTCCTCCTTTTTGCAGTCTATCATTCCTTAACTGAGATTGTGTTCTTCCCCTTTATCCTTCATCCAGGGTCATTCTGCAAACCCGCTCTTGCCTCTTATGAACTTCCAAGCAAATGTCTTTATTGTTCATACATGAAACAGCTCCTCCTTGTTTCTCAGTCTGCCCATTTTGAGTAAACTGTACACTTCTGTATCAATATATTGGCTATATGCCAATGCTTGTTAGTAGGAGCATGTTGCTATCCAGATGCTGTGTTTCTCCTAAGTGGTCACTGCTGTTAAAAGGAGTGTCATCTGAACACCTCGAATGGGGAACTTGCTGGTAAGAAATAGTTGCTTCGGAGAATCTGAAGAATCTTGAAAGAGTCCAGAGAAGGGTCACAAGAATGATTAAAGGCCTGGAGGACAAACCTTATGAGGAAAGACTAAGGGATTTGAGACTGTTCAGCCTGGGGAAGAGAAGGCTGAGAGGGGGACTTGGTGGCCATCTTTAAGTACATAAGGGATGAATATTGGGAGCTGGGAGACAAACTGTTCACTAGGACGACCCAGGGAGGAGAAGGAGCAATGGCCACGAACTGTTAGAGGATGGTTTCAGGTTGGATGTAAGGAAATGATGCTCAGGGGCAATCAGCATGGATTTATTAGGGGGAGATCATGTCAGACCAACCTGATTGCCTTCTACGATCAGGTCACAAAGGCCATGGATGCAGGTGTCGCGGTGGATGTAGTCTTTCTGGACTTCAGCAAGGCCTTTGACACCGTCTCTCACCCCATCCTAGTTAAAAAACTAGGCGACTGTGGCATAGATGCCTACACAGTCAGATGGATTGCAGATTGGCTGAGGGGTCGCACTCAGAGGGTGGTGGTGGATGGGTCATATTCGACCTGGGGGGAGGTGGGTAGCGGAGTCCCCCAGGGCTCGGTCCTGGGGCCTGCGCTGTTCAATTTCTTCATCAGCGATCTGGATGATGGGGTGGAAAGTAACCTGTTTAAATTCGCTGATGACACCAAAATTTGGGGGGAGGTGAGCACGCTAGCAGGGAGTGAGAGATTGCAGAGGGATCTGGATAGGTTACAGGGGTGGGCTAACAGGAACAGGATGCGTTTCAATACGGACAAGTGCAGGGTGCTGCACTTGGGCAGTAGGAACCAGCAGCACACTTACACAATGGGGAACTCCCTACTCGAGAGCACGGAGGCAGAAAGAGATCTTGGAGTCATTATTGACTCCAAGATGAACATGGGCCGACAATGCGAGGTCATGGTTGGCAGGGCTAACCGGACCTTGTCGTGCATCCACAGGTGCATCTCGAGTAGAGCCAAGGAGGTGATCCTCCCCCTCTACGCGACGCTGGTCAGGCCACAGCTGGAGTATTGTGTCCAGTTCTGTGCGCCCCATTTCAAGAGGGATGTGGACAACATGGAGAGGGTCCAGAGGAGGGCCACCCGCATGATCCGGGGACAACAGGGCAGACCCTACAGTGAGAGACTGCGGGACCTGAACCTATTCAGCCTCCACAAGAGAAGGCTGAGGGGGGACCTGGTGACCGTCTATAGACTCACTAGGGGGGACCAGAAGGGTTTGGGGGAGACGCTGTTTCCCCTAGCGCCCGCTGGCATAACAAGGAGTAATGGGCACAAGCTGATGGAGAGGAGGTATAGATTGGACATCCGCAAAAACTACTTCACAGTTAGGGCGGCTAGGAGCTGGAACCAACTTCCAAGGGAAGTGGTGCTGGCCCCTACCCTGGGGGTCTTTAAGAAGAGGCTGGATGCCTACCTGGCTGGACTCATTTGAGTCCCGTTTCTCTTTTTGGGGTTTTTTGTTGTTCTCCCGCCCTGGCGGGGGGTCGGGCTAGAAGATCTACTAGGTCCCTTCCGACCCTTAATCTATGAATCTATGAAAAACTTTACAGTAAGGGTTACCAGAATCTGGAATAGACTTCCCAAGGAGGTGGTACAATCCCCAACCTTGGAAGTCTTCAAGAGGAAACTAGACAGACACCTTGTTGGGATCATTTGATCTCAGCAGCATTCCTGCCCAGAGCAAGGGGGTTGGACTCAATGATCTTTCAAGGTCCCTTTCAGCCCTTAATTTCTATGATTC